AATATCTACAAAGCTCAAGCGAAATCTAATATTACTAGTCTAAGGTTGACCACAATATTTTCAAAAGCAACTCCCCGGCAACGGCGCCAAAAACTTGTTGCTCACCGTAAGTGCACGGGTCGTAGCAAGTAATGTAAAATGAGTAAAGTATCGTTCCCTCAAGGATTTGTTCAAAAACAATGATCAAGTAAAAGACTAAGCAAATTTGATCAAGTTGAGATACACATAGTTAGGTGAAAATGATTTTGCTTATGAAGCTAATACTAAAAAATAAAGAAAAGTGAGTGATTCACAAATTTCCAACACAATTTGAGACCTAGGATTAATTGTCCCCCTTGCATTTCATAACACCAAAATTACCTCCTCTCATAAATGCTTTTAATGAAAATAAGTGCTAACCTAGGGTTCTAAAAGTACTTGGACAAGCTCTCTCAAGTCATGAACAAGTGTTTAGTTAAATTAATTGGCCAATCTCTTGTTACAATTAATAAAACTCAATTTTAAACACCAACCCTAATGTGGCTATGCAAGGCTAGCAAGTATATCTCTATCTTACTAGCAAAACCATCCATTCAACATGCAAATATCAAGTTCTTACACAATTTTACCCAAGTTCTACACTCAACCTAGCCCTCTCAAGCATCAATTAAGTGAACCCAACATCTAAATGGTGGCCAATCAAGTAGAAGCATTAAGGAAAGAGTAAAATAAACACATATATATATCATTAATCACAAAAAGAGAGGAGAAATATAGTGTTAATTCATACAAGGGTTCCAAATAATCCTAGAACAAAGGGTTTAGCTACTCATAATCATCCACAAGCTACAAATATACAAAATAAGTGGACCCATTTCAGATTACAAGAGAGGAAAGGGAAGAGGAATAGAAAAACCAAAGAAAATGAGCTCCAAATGTCTTCAAAGTTTCAATCTCTTGATCCCAACTCTTCCAATGCCCAAACCCTAGCACAACCAAGCTCTAAAAGTGTCTAAAAGTCTGAAGAATGCATTCTGGGTCGAGCTCTCAGCTTATATGTATCCTAGCCAACTAATTTTTGATAAATGAAACGCAGCGTTTTTCTGACAGCGGTGAAAGTCGCGAACGAAAGTCACGACTTTGGGACGACTTTGACAGTTTTACACTGTTTTTACAGCTAACAAAAATCATTCAATTAGCTCTTGATTTCTTCATCCAAACGCCTTCCAAAAATATCCACAAAGCTCCAGAAACGCTTCTAATCAAAATAACATGAAATTAGGCTAAAAATATCAAATTAAAGCCAAGAACACAAGCCCAAAACAAAATGCACATTTTCCTAATTTGGGCAATAAAAACATATACAATTGAACTAAAACGGATTAGAATCTAAGGAAAATGTGATGAAATAACATGAACTTCTAGAGGTTAACAAACATATTATTTATAAATATTAGTTTCAATTTTTGAAACTAATAAAATATTTCTAATAATAGAATTAAAAATATAACATAATTCCTAATCTCAATCTTAATACAAATCTAGAGTTAATACTATTAAGTAAAATTTTTAACTCCTCTTTTAATTATCAATAAATATTAATAATCTAAAAATCAACTTCTAAACTAATTTCTATTATCAAAATTTTCTTTTTATTTCATAAATTCGTACCTAAAATATCTAAAAATTAAAAATTGAGTCTCTAGCTTAGAATCATAATCCTATAGCCATAATAATTCATTTCTCATCCCAAATAATCATCTAAACCTCAATAAATCAACATATATTTTCAGATCTAGTTTAGAATTTGATCCATAAGCCACAAATTCAAAGATCATCAACAAATTTATACTCTAAAACATTTATTATACTACCGACAACCTCAAAAATCATATTTATTCAACATAAATTCATCCATCTGCCAGATCTTAAATTTTCTACCACTACAAACTTAGAAACCAAAGAAGAAGGATGACTAAGAAAATTTTTTAGAACACTTACTTAATCTTGAAAAGCTTAAAATCACACCCTAAATATCCTATTAAAAACTCTTACCTTAAAACCCAGCACCGGTGAACTTGGCTCACAGATGCTCTCTCTGCCTCAGCTCACGCACGAAAGAAAGAATGAAGAAATGAAGGAACAGGTGAGTTTTTATAAAAATTCAGTGGGTCCCACACATTTTTTTATTATTTCTTCTTTTCTCTCTCTCCCCTTTTTTTATATTATTATTATATACAATGATTGTTGTGGGCGGCCGAAAGCAATTTTGTTCTTCTTCTTCTCTTCTTCTTTTTTTTTTGCATACCTTTTCCCTTTTTTTATTATAAAAATAATTTAATAATATTTTTATTTATTTATTTTTTCAATTATTATTTTTTTTAATTTTTTTAATTTTTTTTATTTTTTTTAGAATTATATCCTAAGTTAGATTTAATAATCATCTCTTACTAATTTTCTTACCTCTAAATATTATTTTTTTAAATTTCTATTAACTCAAATTAACTATTAAAATTTAAATTGGGATGTTACAATCTCCCTACAACTACCTGTGAAGAGTTGAAAGGAATAATCATAACTTCTTCAGGGCGCTACTGATGAGCGAAAGAAAGTACGCTTGGTTGTTTGGGATAAAGTTTGTAAGCCTAAGAAAAATAGTAGCCTTGGTCTTAGGCATGCGCATAAGTAAAACCAAGCTTTTCCAATGAAATTTGGCTAGTAAGATGCCCTTAGTTCAAGTCATTCATAGCAAGTATAAATATAGCTTAGCTGTTCCAATGAAATTTTCTGTCAAGTTAGCTTATGAATTTTTAGAGCTACTTGGTGAAAGATTTAGAAGCTGTGAATCCCTAAGAGATGTTAAGTGTTTTTTATGGTCACCTTATCATAACAAGTTCTCATGAATGCAGGTTACAAGAAGCAAGGAATGTATGCGGAGATCACTATGAGATCTGCAAGGTTGCAGTGGAAGACATCATGCATGCACTTAGAGATTGTTTGATCATGAGAAGATTTTGGCTAAATATTCTAGACCATGGAGACAAAAGGACCTTTTTTAATGTCAACCTGCAACAACAAATTCAATGGAATGTGTGGTCAATAGCAACCAACCACGGGGTTCCTTGGTGCTCTTATTTTGTGAGAGCCTGTTGGCTTATTTAGAGATGAAGGAATGAGATAATTTTTCAAACTAAAAATATTTCTAATTCTTCCACTGATGCACAAATAGTTGCCATCATTAATACTTCCATAGAGTATTGAAGTAAGCTTAAAGGTACTATGTGGAGAGAACAAGATGGGCCTATGCTTTGTGGTATTTAGAGTCCGCCAAGGGATGACTAGTTCAAGCTTAATATGGATGGTGCTTTGTTTACTTATACGAATGAGGTTGGAGGTGGTGGACTAATGCAAAACTCGAAAGGGGAGTTTGAAGCAGGATTTATGTTTAAAATGAATGATGGGAATTTGTTTTATGTTGAGCTTTAAGCTTACTTGTGAGGTCATAAAATGGCATGGGACCTTGGCTTTAGAAAGCTCATTCTTGAATCTGATTGGTGCGAAGCCATCAAGGCAATTAATGTATTGATCCTCTTAACCATTCGAACGTTGATCTTGTTGGTGAAATCAAATCATTATTGGCTTGGGATTAAGTGGTGCTTATTCAATATATTTTAAGGGACATCAATGAAGTTGTCAACCTTCTTTCCAAATTAGCCTTTTTCTTGTATTAATGGGTTTCACCCTGTTCCCTCCCCTCCCCTTAAGTTAGTAGCTATTTTGGTACAAAACATTAGCACTTATCTTTAGTTTTTTTCTCCTTGTGTATCAAAAATAAAAAAATAGTGACACATAATTCAACAATTTCTCCACTTTGAGATATATTAGCATTTGGTAATAAAAGATAGTATATTAATATTTACCTGAGAATGAATTACTAATTCAATTTAAGAAATAATAATTTTAATCATATGAAATGAGAACAAGAAAATTCATGAGTAAAAACCACTATATTAAAGTTGTCTTAAGAGAATAGTTGTTACTAATCAAATTGCTGCTGCCATTTCAAATAATTAAGTTTGTTATTTTTTAAATAGTTATTGACCTCCAATTAACCTAAAAACTGAATTTCATGTGAATGGCTGTAACAAGCATAAGAAATAAAAGAATAAGATGTAACTGAGCAAGACATATGTCTGTCTATATTATAAAATTAATAATTGTCAAATACGTATGTACTATTTCACTTTTAAAATTATAAAATATTCTGAAAGAGGACGATCCATTAAATAGCATTTTTAAATAGTGCTCAAATTTTTTAAGAGATTAATTCATAATTGCTGACTGTGAAAGTAGGAATACTTTAGGCAACTAAAAAAATTACAAAATATTGATTAGCTTTTAAAAAAATTTTGCTTGAAATTAAATTTTATATATTTATATTATTATTTATTATCTTTTTTATTTAAATAATCGGTGCCTATTTAAAAATATTTTACTTTAATCCTAACTAGTTTTCAATATCTTGTTTTTCAAACATAAAATTATAATAGGAAAAAAAAAAGTAAGCTAGAGCTCAATTACATTGAACACCTCCATTACAAAGTTAATTCTCCCATCTCAAATTATAAAACACACTTCGGCCAAAAAAAAATATAAGACACACAAAATTACATGTATCAATAAAGCTTATTAAATCTATTTTATAATTTTATTTTTTTAAAATAAAAATATAAACTTTTAAAAATATTTCAGTTATGGAAGAAAATTAAAAAGAGATAATATAATGAAAAAGTATTATTAGTGAAATCTTATTTTTATTAAAATATTTTATATTTTTAGATGTCAAATCTCTTCCACAAGTGTTTTCTATTTGGACGGAAGGAATATTAATTTGATCCTGCTCAGTGTCCGGGGACTTTATTATTAGATTAAGTTATAAGCCTAAAGCACACAAAACGCTCAATCCTGAAAATATTTGTCCATTTTTTTCATCATTTATAATTTGTCAACAGTTTTATAAATTTCACCCTCACCTTGTCCTGGGGATGGTGTTAACTCTTAACCTTTACCCCATCTTTATTCATGATAATTGGAAACAGGTTTTATAGTCTAAAATAAAATTTCTAGCGTGTGACACGCGTATAGCATGAAAAACGTAATGACTAAAAAACAACCAAAATTCTTCCAAAAACACCAATAAACTCTGGCCTGAAAAGCCTTGTTGTTAAAGAGCACACTGGTTAGCCAACAAGATTGACCCGGGCCTATGGGTCGGCGGATATGGGCTCGAGGAAGAGGCTCGCTTTGGGATGGAAGCCGGCATCTTTGAGAGTCATTCTCATTTCATCTACGCCGTACATTCTTCTTGGGAAGTTTGACACCAATCTGTAGTTCCCAATCCCAGGCAAACCCAGCGAATCAATGTACGCGAAAATTGACTGGACTTTGTCCGTACACTCAAAACTCTGCTCACGTCTTTCCCCATTTGGAAACCTTATCAATATCTGCAACATGACCCAAATAAATGAATCAATCAACCAACCCATTTGAGAGACAAACCTATGACCTGACAAAAGAATTTAGATTACTTTCTTGTATAAGAATTATAGGACGGACAGACATACTTGAATGGGTTGAGAGTGACCTCCCCGTTTAGGAACTCCTTTGTTTTGATGCTTTGTAGTGATTGTAGATTCATTCACTTTGGAGTTGTTGCTACTGACAGGCTTGTTCTTGAGGTTCTCATGATTTCTGGTATTCAATGCTTCCACTGGTTTCTGAACTCTTTCTCCCGAAGTTGAATTCCTGAGGTTTTCTTTTTCCTTGTCAATTTGCAAAGCTGCGAAATATGCAGCATCTTGTTCTTCTCTCAGCCGACGATCAGCTCTGATCTTTTCTTCCCGCCGAGCTTTGTCACTTCCAAAGGCCAGTCCTTGCTCTTCCATTGTTCTCTGTAAAACCTCCACAAGCTCCGCTGCTGAAACTGGTCCTTCAATCTGAAACAAGCACAAATTTAAAATTGTGATAAACCAACCACTAAATGTAGATTAGTTAAAACTGTGTAGGATAAACCTGTTGCAGAACTGCCATGGTGTCACCGGCGGCAGGGGCGACGACGGCGCAGAGGGGAAAGCTAGCAGGGCGGAGAGTGGCCACCATACGCAGACCTTCGCCCCGATCAGCAAGACCTCCCCAGCAAGCAAAATTCACGTCAAGAAACTCAGTCACAAGCTCACAACACAGTGTTTCCCTACAGAAATTGTGCGTGAAAGGGTGTTCTGGCGAATGGATGTACATGAACACCAACTTCTTGTCTTGCTCTGCGAGTTTCAGAACTTCCATTAAACGGCACGCGTAGAAGAAAGGATGTACGGTGCCGTATTGATGCTCAAAGCTTTCCAGAAAAGCCCACTGGTTCTCCCGAACTACCGGGGCATCCAACGGCTGGAATTGGAAATCTGAAGAGGAAGGAGCGAGTTCGTTTTGAGATCTTGATCCTCTTCTTCTTCTTCTTCTTACTGATCCTATATCACTCATGGCCCTCGAAAACTCCCCCATAATACTTCTAGGAAGGCTCGCCATCCGGCTAAAAATCCCGTGATCCCTTGTCGCCGATGACATTCTGTATGGATTGGTCTCTGCAAATTTGCGCTTTGCAGGCTTCAAGCCTTCAATTAATCGCCTTCTTAAGAATGATCTGAATTTTCTTGGGTTCAAAAAATGAAAGATATTGAATGATATAATTAGGTTAGAATCACAAAACTCTTGGTCCAACCAGTGTAGCAAAGGAGTTGTATCCAAACTTTTAACGAGAAGCACGAGTCTTGAATTTGAATCCTGAAAATGTAACATTAGTGGTGGAGTTTTTACTTTCTATCCATCCTCTTTTGATTTAGATTAGTCAGAATTTCCATTAAACCCTATTAACTTGATGTGAAGCGAATACTCCGCACAGAAAAAAAAAAATATAATTAGGTGATCAGTTGTTAAAATGGATAATCAACATTAGATTCTTTTTTTTTTCAAGAAAACTATTATTAAATCTAATATTAAGCGTAACAATTGGAATATATAAATAGATGGAAGTGGCCTATCTTGAAGGAAAATGACGAACCCTGTAATGCATTTGATGTCTTATCCGAATTGAATGTTTAGTTGCCACCTTTTTTTTTTTTTTCCTTGGTGCTTTCGTGGTTCGAGAAAGTATAAAGAAGATGCTTTGCTTGAGGCGGAATGTAGCGCAAATTTAAGAGGAAGAAGAAATATGGCGAACATATAGAATCGTAATCGCAATACAATGATCTGCACATAATCCCAAGGCAGCATGTGATCCTCGTCACTTTATTCAGATGTTGATTTTAATTCCCTCTTTGGACGAAAACCAATCGCGTGACTAGATTTCCACACCCGTAATCTGGACGTCGTTCACGGCTCCAAACAAGAATTAAAAAAAGTGTGTTGATGTTTTGTGACGCTGGCATGACAGCACTAGCGTTGCTTTGTTTGCTTTATGTTCTTTAATGGGTTCATCATGAAGCTCATAGATATGGTGCTAGTACTATATAGATCATCATCAAGATGATTGTTGAGGGACCAAAGGACGCTCTGTAGAATCGAATTTTGGAGAGTGACAAACACAATAATTAACGTGATTTTAAAGATATCGTCCTATCAATACCTCGCTATTACTATAAGGTCTTCTCGTAAGGGGTCCAAATTAGTTTGGGACGGATAATAAACTCAGAATACCTTAAAATATCGGATGGTTTACCAAAAAAAATAAGATGATTGTTGAGGGAACAACAGTGGCATTGTGAATTTTTCTTTGATTGTTTGTTTCTTTTTTTTCTTCTGCCAGAGTAATGTGATTAATTTACTATAAGCACGACCTTGAACACTTTTAACGAGTTCAGTTCAACTTGCGTTGTTCGAATACCATTCTCTCCTACGTCCTAGTCTCGTTCACAATCGATGATATTCCTTTCATGAGCTGTTTCCCACACCGCTTCATCCAAAATCATGTAAACTTACAATATTACTCCTGGAAAACGACACTTGCAATTATAATTTAATATTCCCTCTATTTTAAATTAAAAGATATTTTTTAAGGTCATATCATAAAATATAAAGCATATTAAGATTTTATTAAATTATTTTATTTTAATATTACCCTCTCTCTATTTTATTTATGTTTCTCTCTTTTTAATACATTAAATAAATAGAGTTTTTTAAAATTTATATTTTTGTTTTGAAAAAATAAGTTTGTTAAGTATATTTAATAAAATTTATTAATATGTAAGATTTTATTTAAAAATATTTTATAATTAAAAAATATGGAGTATTACTTAGTAGCTAATAAATGTTGGTTAAGATGATAATTAACAGGGTGGTGGATTCAAATCTAATTGTTGGTACAAAAATCTTTATCAATAATAGGCAATTTGTAAGTAAATTTTTTTAACATGACTAGAGATATATATATGTCTTGATTTACTTAGCAAGCTGCTATGGCCCAACTCCTTTTAATTTGATATATCAAAAATGATATATATTAGGCATTCAGTATCTTATTTTGTCACGCCCACTTCTAGCATTCTAATATAATTTTGGGATAATCACATTCAAAAACGATTTAAGTAAATTATTTACAAACAATAATTAATATGAAATGAATTATTGTTAAAATGAAAATATAATTTTTTTTCAAATGGGACTGTTACTAGTCTTTATATGTGAATAATTTATTTAAATGATCATTGAATGTAATTCTCTTTATAATTTTCCCCTAATTTGTTTCTTTCAAAACTTCAGAGTTTATGAAATAATGTCTGTTTCACTTTATTTTTATCCTTGATTTTGAAAGTAAAACTTGTAGGGGTTTAAGTTCTAGTTAATCAACATTTTTAAAAAAGTTATTATCTTCGACATCTTTCCAATTTTAAAGATTATATTCAACCAATATTTTTTTTTTGGCGTACAGATTTTCAGTAAAATTAAAATGAAATAAAATAAAATTGTTTGATACATGAATATTATAAGGTCACACTTGATTGCTAGCTGGAAATGATGAGAATGAAATTGACTAAAAAAATTAAAATTAAAATAAATTAAATTACTTACTCCCTCACAATAAATATAATAAAACTTAATATTATATATTATAAATGTGTGAATCAAAATATCTTTTAAAAATTTTATGAATGATGACTTTTAATTCTTTAAACTAAATTATCATTTTTCTGTGTGAATATATAATTTATCTATCTCTCCCCACATGTTTATCATCTTACTTTATCTTTAATTCCTCGGATCATTCCATTTCTTTTTTTTATTTTTAAAAGCAACCAAATGAGACCTACAATAAAATTGTTCATAGTTCATATGCATTGTAATTTGTAATTTTTCTTTTTTATGACGTAGATTGAACTGTGATCTCCATTCCCGCTCCCACAACCACATATGTGTCGGTGATATCTTCCGTTCTTCACGCGGCGAAGAAATCTCGTCTCTCGGGCTTTTATTATTATTATAATTATTGATAAGTAATTTTTTATTTTTTATTAAAAATAATTATATTTAAGATATAATCCGATTTTAAATATAAATATTTTTTTAAGTGGGATTCGAGCCACTTTTTTATTGGTTTATTCACACCTCTGTAGACCAATATTTTTCGGAGACTATGAAGGTAAATTCTTAAATAAATGTAATCATTAACAAATATTAGTTTATATACAAAAAAATTAAATATGATTGTTAAAAATTAAAATGCGGCAACATAACTGAAATATATTCCTCTGCAGAAGCATCTTTATTCCCCGCATAACATTTTTGAGAGGGGGAGAGAGACAGAGTGGAGTGTACGTGAAAGGAGATGTGGTCAACAAGTCAATATGGATGTGTGAGAGAAATATAAATATAAAATTTGCAAAAGCATCTCTGCCAAAAGTTGACGGAGGAAGTGGAGGGTCTGTGAGCGTGAAAGGAGGTATCAATTTGACAATTAGTCAATATTAAAAAGAATTCATTATAAATTAAAATATTCACAAATTATGTAATATGATTATCTTTTCACATGGTTAACATTGTTTTTTGACCATGGCTTGGTTAACATTGTTACACTTGCAGGAACCTCTCAGTTCTATATGAATTTAGGCATTTAGCAACTAAATGTATCCTAAAAAAAAACCAATGACACAAAAGGGAAAAAAAAATACGCCGATCATCCTCATTTCCCTCCTTAATTTTATAAATTATCATTTCAATCATTTAATTTTAATACAGTTTTAAATGATAATTTTTTGCCAATTATTATTATTATTTAAAAAATAAACTTAATATATTAATATTTAAAAATATTTTGTTAATATTTAAAAATTCAACGCAACTAACAAAAGTTAGTTTAATTAATAAATATTCAGCACATATGACATAGCCTACAAAGTAAAGCGGGTTTAAATTCTACTATCAATATAAAAAATTTGTTGGTAAATAAATTATAAATACTTTTATAAGAACTTATTAAATCTAGAAGTGCGCTCTAATGTGAATGGGGCCCGTGACCAATCGCCAACCACCTAGCTATATTTGCTTATAAAAAGAAAACCAACGCAAGAACTTTTTCTTAATTAAATTAATTATGTTAAGATTAGAGAATTAAAAAGATATTTTAAAAAATTAAGATATTAGGATGAATTTTTTATAAAATTAAATGACAGAGAGTGCATATTTTCCCAAAAAAATCAATGAAAATAAAGATTTAAAACATTTTCAAATGAATTCTTTTTTTCAAATAAAATGAAGATATTGAAATAGGACTTTTTTTGAAAGTGTGGTGAAGGAAAGGGACGAAAGTGTAAGTGGGAAGCAAGGAGCGCCACGATATCCAAAAAAGATAAGCAAAAGCGTTAGGGCCCATGCTGCTGCGCCTCACCAACAAAAGTTACTCACAGCTCCAAGGCCGACAAAACACTTTCTTTCAATAACTATTTGCAAATTATAATTATTTTATTTAATTGATGATTTACATGTTTAATCGTAACATGCTGCCTTCTAGTTTGTTTGTGCTTTTTAATCATTCGTTATTTGCTTCCTCAGGTTATATAGAAATGTACTTTTGAAAGTGATGCTAATAATAACTCCAATACAATATTTATTTGATGCAATAATACTTAAATTTCGAACCTTTTTTATAAGCAATATAGAGAGAGTGGGGAGAAGGGAATTTAGTCGTCGCATTACTGAAAATCATGGGATAAAAAATTATCGAACCGGCCCTGGTCTTTGACTAAAAAACTACTCATTATAGTCTAATATATAAACGGTTTTTTTTTAATCTATATATCAATAAAGCTTTTATTTTCATAAAAATATATATTACTTTTCCTTTTTATCTTTAATCCCAATTACTAATACACTCATTTCATTATGAGTGAGAGATAACTTTACATAATGATTTAAGTTAATAAAAACAAGGGTAAAATGGAGGGAAAATTTTCACATGTACTAAGTTAAGTTATTTATATTTTAAACTTAGTTGAAATAAAATGTTTATCTTTTGGACCAAAGGAATATGTCAGATGTGATTATAGTAGGGATAAATGTAATAATTACCAGGTTTAGAAAATTAATTTAATGATAATTTGGTCGTGAAACATTTTGAAAATCAATGAGCTACAAATAACCATGTGATTCAGAAGCCCCTATTCTCAATTACTTGCAAAATATTTTTTGAACTCAATTGTCAATAAAATAGTTTTAAAAATATATATATTTATCACTCTCTCATATGTTTTGAAATTTATTAATATATATAATAAAATTTATATCAAATTGTAGCATTATTTATAAATTATATTGTTACTATTACTTCTCGGAGAATGACATTAAAATCTCAAACTAATAAATTTATGATAGTAAGTCCCCAAAAAAAATTTTAAAAAAATTAATTTTAAATATCGATTTAGATAATCATAAATTCAAGAATTATAACTACAAATAAGATATTTAAATTTTAAATATAACTCTCATTTTATAGTTGTGATTCATGTTTGCAATTATTTAAATTAATATTTATAACTTATTTTTTAAAAAAAATTTATTGAAAACTTAACTATAATAAATTTTAAGTTTTGAGACTTTACTGTCAATTGTCATTCTCCTTTTTTTTTTCTCTCTCTCTCTCTCTTTCTTATAAGGAACAAATACTTCACCAAGACCATGAAAGATAGGCAAAATTAGTTGGAAGTTATAAAAGTTTTTTTTAATACAAAAGTGTTTCATCCCCTATCAAAGTCCTTTACATATTGTACTTAATTAACCTAATTTTTATGAAAATTTTATTCAGCAGTCTGTCTCTTTTTTCTATGCCATCCATATAAGTATCCAACTTAGGGCAAATGTAGCTAGCAAGCTCATGTTAGCGATTCTCCATAAATGTACATATTCAATAAAACACATCTCACAGAAAATAGATGAAAAGTAAAATTACTATATGACTTGTAACAGTTGAGCTGCAAATTTTCTAGAATTTCAATAGGCAAAGGAAGGGGGGAAAGTAATCTAGCACGGAAGACCCAAATGTCCGGCGTGTGTATGTTGCTTGGGATTTAAGAACATTCAATTCAATTAATACTAAATCTTCAATCACTTGAATTAAAAATAATTTTTTTTAAAAAAAGTACAACCCCACAAAGTGTGGGTCAACACTGTGGTGACTGAATTTTCAGTGCATGGAAGCACAAAACCATCACCACCAGAACTTCTCTCTCACTTCTTGACCAGTTTGAAGATTTTTTTTTTTTGCTTAGGTTATCGCTGGTCGTTCTTCTTTCTGTTTTTGGATAGACATGAAGAAAAACTCAATTTCCTGTACAAATCATGAGAGTGAATCATTTTCTGCAGAAACAAGAAGACAATACCACCGTGTTGTCACAGAACAAACAAGAACACACGATCAATGTTCTCTGAAATTGGCTGCTCTAGTTACCTCCCAAAATACTCCAACTGTTCTGCCTGCATTTTTTGTTGCTTTCCTGCTTCTTCTTTCTTCAATTAGCCCCCCGGTCTTGTCTCACCCCTTACCCTTCAACCAAACTCTCAGAATCAGAGCTCTTTTAAGCAAGATCAACAAGCCTTCTCTAAAGACAATTGAGGCATTCTCTTCTGCTTTGTTTGAAGCTTTGATGTTGATGACTCTGTAAGTGACTTGAATTTTGTTATTTTGTTGCAGAGCCCGGATGGGGATTTGATTGACTGTGTTTTATTTCATCAGCAGCCAGCTTTTGACCATCCTGAGCTTCAAGGACAAAGACAGAGACTGTTGGTAATTTCTATGAAAACTTTCTCGCTGAAGAAAATGACTTTTTCTGCAGGGGTTGAATATTATTACAGAAGAGTAAGAGGATATATGTGTTTACAGGATCCACCAGAAAGGCCAAAAGGCCACGACAAGGCAGAAACAGAACAAGAGAGCTTTCAGCTATGGACCGATTCTGGGGACTCATGCCCGGAAGGAACTGTTCCAATTAGAAGAACAAGAGAGGAAGATATTCTGAGGTCAAGTTCCATTCAGAGATTTGGAAGAAAACAAGGTAGGGGTGTACGGAGAGACTCATCTGCCAGCGGCCATGAGGTTAGTGTTCCACCACTTTATATGCAGAATATTTTTCTTGAGCAAAGCAAGGGAATACAAGCCAGTCGGGTTATTTGTTCCCATCGTTCTGTTCTGAAATACGTAGTGGATGATTCAGAATACAAATCTTGATGCAGCATGCAGTGGTTTTTGTGAATGGAGATCAATACTATGGAGCAAAGGCAAGTATAAACGTATGGGCTCCCCAGGTGACGAATCAAGACGAATTTAGCTTGTCACAGATATGGGTTATTGCTGGATCCTTTGGGAATGATCTAAATACCATAGAAGCTGGTTGGCAGGCATGTACATTATTCTCATTTACACTCTCTGTGATCAAAGCTGGTTTTTGTGATTGCAATTACTTTATTGCCCGTCAAAGAGATGATGATCAGAATTCAGAAATGCAGTACTCTTTCTGACTAATTATAACAGGCACTAGTGTTCTCCAGGTGAGCCCACGGCTATATGGAGATAATAATCCAAGGTTCTTCACTTATTGGACAGTAAGTTTTTGAAAGGACCGAGATTATGCAGTTTTCTCCTTCATTTGATTAAAGGAGAGTCTGATCAATTGTGTGTTTATTATAAAACACAGACAGATGCATATCAAGTGACAGGATGCTACAACTTGCTGTGCTCAGGCTTTGTTCAAACCAACAACAGGATAGCAATAGGAGCTGCAATATCCCCAAGATCTGTATATAATGGAAGACAGTTTGATATTGGCTTAATGATTTGGAAGGTGAGTTTGGATCCCTGGCTTGTTCTACAATTTAAAGGCAAAGAGTAGTTCACATGATCTCAAGTAGGAAATAGGATAGTATAGTGATACACGCGCACATACATACCCTATCTACTAAAGCATCTTTATCCACTTTAGTGGAATTACATAAAGGTGGTTAATTCATTAATTATATTTGGAGATAGAATAAATTTTTTTTGTTTTACTCTTATTTAAATGATTTTTTTAAGCTATACTACATTCTCTCTCATGGTTAATTACTTTGAATAGGAGCAATATTAAAAAACTTTAATTAATTCAAGTGAGTCATAATAAAAACTTTCATCTTTTCTAAAAAGTTCCTTATAACAAGGATAAGAGGGAGTGTGTGCATAAATATAAATTTTTTATATTAGATTCTTGAAAAAATTAATTATTTGGCTCTTATAATTTTGATTAAATTATAACTGAATTTCTAAATTTTAACTAGTTGCAACTTAAGTCTTATATGACTATGTTGAAACTCAGTTTTTGAATTTTAAATTATTACAACTCAGTTTTATGGTTTTAAAATATATAAAACATTAGTCCCTTAATTTTTTTAAAAAATAAATTTATTTCTTATAATTTTATTTCTTAAAACGAAAGGATCAATATTTTAAATACTTAAAAGTATAAAAATTAAATTATATTGAGTCAAAATTTTAAAAATTAAGTCTTAACAAAATCAAAGTTATAAAAATTAAGTTGTACAGAGCCAAAGTTAAAACATTTATAGCCGAACTGAAACTATTGGAAGCAAATATTTAGGTTGCTTTTCTCTCAGCCTCCACCCCATAATATATGAGGGTAAAGATGTAAAATGAGGGTTGTTTTTTAGGACAATACCAAAATCCGTTGTGGTTTCTCAAGTTCCTTTGAAGAGAAAGTTAGGGGAATGGGAAAAGAGTGTCGAAGTGGTAGAGAAACAATAATTCGTTTTGATTGTCGGTTTGCTTTTGATTTGTTGTCCATGTTATTGTTATTTAATTATTTAAATGAAAAGATTCGCTGGCTTTCCCTGTACGGCCGTCCTTCATGGGGTCGGCTCTACCACGACCATATGGCTTTTTTTCCTTTATTAAAGCCACAGCTCACGGTTTCCTCTTTTCCTCTGATTTTGCTGTTCTTCGTCCATGGAAAGCAACCACTGAGCCAGGCCTCACCATTGCTTCTTCTTCACACTTCACACTTTACACTTAATCACCATTATCGTCTCTCAAATATTCTACTTTTTTCAACCCTTCACTTCACCTCCAACAAATGCTGACCATGGAATGAGTCCCCTCCTCTTTGTGTGTGCATGTACCCACATCAATCAATTCCTGTGTCAGTCACTCACGTTAATCTCACGTGCAAGTTACTCTAGAATTAAGGCGTTGTTTGGATGTGTGTTAGAAAAAGTGATTTTGTGGCTTCCAAAATAAACTTAGGGGAAGATGACGTTTAAGTATCTATTAAAAATATTAATTACAGTTAAAAACTAAAATTAAAAGAAATCATGGCCTTTAGTTGAGATTAAAATCTTTTATTGAAAATTTTCAATTCTTAATAATAATGTTCTTCAAATATTGATCTTTCACATGCTCAAAAGTATTCTTTAACAATTTTAGCACTCATTTTTTACTTTTCAATAATCATTTTAGCTGTTCTCAATATTCATCTTCTGTATGAAAAAAATTAGTATGGAAACCATAGAAAATGTGTATTGAAAACATCTAAAATGGCTACTGAAAAATATTAAAGAAAAAACTGAGTACAATGTTTAAAAAATTAACACACCAAGTTTGTAGTTTCAGTTGAAAACTATGGTTCTTTTTGGGAATTTTAAAATTATATAGTCCTTGACTGTAAATAACGTTCTTAGGGGTCCTTAAATGTCATTCTTCCTAAAATTACTCTCTTTTAGGCCAAATTCAACTGGTTTGTAAATAGATGTGAGTGTGAAGTGAGTTAATAAAGAAGTGTGATTGGGTAGGATCCGAAACATGGGCACTGGTGGCTGGAGATCGGGTCGGGCAGGCTGGTCGGGTACTGGCCGGCGAACTTGTTCAGTCATCTGAGGAGGGAAGCGAGCATGGTGCAATTTGGAGGGGAAATAGTGAACTCAGAGTCAAGGGGTTACCACACGAGCACTCAGATGGGAAGTGGCAAGTTTGCAGAGGAAGGGTACAGAAAAGCAGCATATTTCAGGAACTTGCAAGTGGTGGATTGGGATAATAGCTTGCTTCCTCTATCTAATATTCACCACTTGGCTGATCACTCCAATTGCTACAGTATCAGATTGGCAGCAAACCAAGTTTGGGGCACTTACTTTTATTATGGAGGCCCTGGAAGGAATGTCAGATGCCCCTGATGAAATAAATGTCACTGCTTTTGTTTTTTTGGATTTTATTTTTCTCATGGTTTTTCATTGTTTTGCCATTAAAAAAAATGTCCATTTGGTTTATTGTTTGTGTTCTTCCCATTATTTTATCAGCAACGACTCAAAAACAGATAAATTTAAGTTTGGTTGATCAAGACTAGTATATATAATTTGGACTCGAGCTGTTAAATTCGAAGCAACCCAAATACTGTTTAAAAGCACAAGATTGTGACCAGTAGAAATTAAGTTTAGTGTAATATCTTAAATTTTAATCTTTATATAATAAAATAATTATAGGTAATTTTAAGTTGTAGAGAAGGAATCTCAGACTGTGTAAAATCACTGAGCATTTATTGAAGATTAGAAATTTGAAAAAAAAAGTAAAATAATCTAAAAAGAAGAATTTATCTAAAATAAAAATAATTTTACAAGGACTAAATTTCAGGAAAAAATATAATAATAATAATAATAATCATAACTAGATATATAAGAGAAAGGGGATGAATGATTTAATAAATAAATACATGTATGTATGTATAAATGTTTGCATATATATATATATATATATAAAATATACGAAAGTTAAAAAACAAAGAAAGAAAAGGGCCCAAGCCCACTTTGTCAACTAATTGAATGGCCTAAAACCTAGACTAAGCATAGGCACAGTACATTCATTTGCGCACTTCCAGTCTGGTGACTGCGGAGACCGAGACCGCAATAGAGAGCACGCATGAGAGATTTTTAATACTTCAGCTCCATAATCAGATATTTTAGGAGTCACTTGAAAATTTTTAAAATTAGTTAAGTATTCTAATTTTTTTGGTTCTTGCTGTTTATCATCTTAGCTGTTTAGATTCTTGAGGGGGAAAAATCTGGAGTGTGATTTATTTAAAAAAATTTGGATCTTTTTCCTAGTGGAAAATTATTCTAATAATATAGATAAATTTATTTTGAGTATTTAGGATAAGTAATATCTAAAGATGACTTTGTGTTAGATTTGAGGACTGTTAAGAGTAAGGTTTTGGGATGAATAGGGACTTTAAATTAATACTTTTGAATTATAACAAAAATTATTAAAAGTATAAATATTGAAAAATTGGTTTACATGCAAGGCCATGGATTTAGGAGAAAATTGAGTTCTCTAAGATAGTTTTAAGGTCCTAAAGTAACCATAGAGTAGTTTTAGGAGAATCTTTTAGTAGATTTAAATTACATATTATTATTTCTATATGTATGTGATTTTTGTAGACTTTTAATGAGAACTCTTATTGTTTGGATTTGCTATGTGATTACTTGTAAGTTAAAAGAGAATGGGTATTTATTGTGATTTATACATGTATAGTTTTGACTAATACAACTATATAAACTATGTGATAAACTCTTGAGAAAGGGTGTGATGAATTTACTGAAGCACGCGCGCACTTTTATACACACTCTTTGATTTACAGTATAAGGTTGGGCAGAGTAATAAGGAGGGTTATTTATTATACATATAACTATATGTTGCATATTATTATGATAGCTTAGTTTTGATTTGCAGTATAAGGTTGGGCAGAGCAATAAGGAGGGTTATCTATTGTGCATATAACCATATGTTGCATATTATTATGATAGCTTGTAAATTGGTTAGTTTGTATATGGTAAACTCTGGATTACTAAAACATTAATGTTCATTTCTCTGACATTTTTTAGATGAACTTAGTGGAGGAAAGGAAAAATGAATGAAAACTTGAGGCTTAGCTTGAGTAAGCTTTGTGTAAATATAAAAATTCATTTGAGATTCAAATAAAATTTCATTTGATAAATGCAACTTTAAATAGCTTTTAATTTTTGGAATGTGAATTAGAGTTAATTTCAATTTATTTTCATATTATTCAAATAAATTTCATTTTATGAAATTGATTTTTGAATAAAAACATATCCAAACAAAAATGAACTTTTAACAAACAAATTTTTGACAATTGATTTTACCAATAAATTTTTAAAAAATGAATTTTTATCAAATTTAAAACCAAACACGCACAGGCACAGCTATGTTTAGGTTGCCCAAAATTTGAATTATTTTTCTTTGCAAAAATGTTATTATATTTTAATGCTTTTATTTTTTAAAAAAGAATTAAAATAAGGATATAATATGTTTTTTTTAATCATGAACGGGGCAAATGCCCAAGCCTTTATTTAACTGACAGTAAAGCAAGGGTCATTCTTGGTCCATCCAATCCTGGAGACCTACAGGAGGTTCGCTAAGAATTATGCACTCATTACAACCATTCAAAGCTGATTTAGCCAACCAATCAGCGCTCACGTTCCAATCTCCAAAAACATGTTTTACTATAACGTGCCAATCCTCGTTGATAAACTTGGCAACTTGACGCATGTGCCTTATTGGTCTTCCTTTCCGTCACTTGCTGCTTGGAATTCATTAACCATTAAGGCCGTGTTTGGTTACTAGAAATAAAATAAAATAATTGAAAAAATGAGATAAAAATAAATTAAATTATCCTTTCTTTCATGGTAAGTATGATAAAACTCATCAATATATACTATAAATATGATAATCATCACACCCTCTAAAAATTTCGTGCATCATTATTTCTAATCTCATAAACTAAATTACCCCTCTCTTTTATAAATGTGTTCACTTATTCCATTTGATAATATTATCTTTACTTTCATTTTTTCAATCCATTACTTTTTAGTAAGCAAACGTGACCTAAGATAGAATCACATTCCATGATTAGCTTAGTATAGTGGAGAGCTCGTGCCACCTGTAATCCATGGTAGAAGCCTTAGAATTCATCTTCTTCAGCTAAACAGGTACCTAGTCCACAAACAAACCTACCCATCCACCTTCCATTACAATTATGAAAGAGTCCACCATAACTAAGAGCTCATGGGTTGCCTACTTGCCCCATCAATGTTTAATTTAGTCTAGCCATGTGGTGGTAGTTCCCAACTAGCTCAAGTTGCTCTTAGTACTATCAACAAGTTTGCCTCAAACTGTGAACTAGATTGCACCCCCACTATATAGTCGCATATACGTCTCTTAAGTCTTTCCAAAGAGATATTGTCTGATTTGTTGAAGATTCATTCATTTTTGGCTTTCCAAAGATGCCATATCGTGATTGGAAAAGTTGTAACCTCCCCTAATATCCATCTGACATTAGGAGGAGTGAACAAATTCACCACATCACTACAGTCATATATATATTGAAGGAAGGATAAATTTTGAAAAGTTTAGGCCTAAGACTTTGTTTAATAAAATCATTAATATCCTCCACTTATCAAAGTAATGCATGACGGAAAATAATCACACGTATTCATTCCTTCCAAGTCACAACTTGAACAAGAAAACAAGGTTAAGAATTAGGCCATGCACTGCGATGTACACCACATGTACCGCAGCATGTGGCACAAAGCCACAGGCTCTCCTTTGTTATGTCATATGTCGCGGTGCACATAACAAAAAATTTTGTTGTTAATATGACAGTTCGCATAGTGAACTTTTGATGTGCATTGTTTTCACATATGTTTGATCAGAGTGGTTCAAATGCCCACATGAAGCTTGTTTCATAAGCTAGCAAATGAGATAAGTTTCGACACGATCCAATGGTCTAATCTAAATTTGGATACTTGGATGCAAAAAGTTACTTTTTTTAAGAATTAAGTGCACCAAAGTGTTTGAATTAATCATTTAGTCTCATGTTGCTCATCGCAAGTGCACGGATTGTAGCAAGTAATATAATGAAAGTAAAGTATTATTCTCTCAAGGATTTGTTTAAAAATGATAATCAAACAAAAGACTAAGTGGGTTCAACTAAGTTGAGCTGAACATAATTTGGTGAAAAATAATTTTACAAACTAAAACACTAGAAAATAAAGAAAAGCAATTTATTCACACACTTCAAATACAAATTGAGACTTAAGATTATTTAACCCCCTTGTATTTCATAATGCCAAAATTACTTCCTCTTATTAATGCTTTTAATGAAAATAAGTGCTAACCTAGGGTTCTAAAAATACTTAGATATACTCTCTCAAATTATGAACAAGTATTTAGTTAAATTAATTACTCAATCTCTTATTATAATTAATAAAACTCAATTTTAAACACCAACCCTAATGTGGCTATACAAGGCTAGCAAGTATATCTCTATCTTACTAACAAAACTATCCATTCAACATGCAAATATCAAGTTCTTGCACTATTATATCTAAGTTTTACACTCAACCTAACCCTCTCAAGCATCAATTAAATGAATCCAACATTTAAATGGTGGCCAATCACTTAGAAGCATTAAGGAAAGAGTAAAATAAACACATATATATCATTAATCACAAAAAGAGAGGAGGAACTTAATGTTAATCCATATAAGGGTTCCAAATAATCATACAACAAAAAGTTTAACACATCATAATCATCCATAAGTTACATATATACAAAATAATTGGATCCATTTTAGATTACAAGATAGAAAAGGGAAGAGAAATAGAAAAACTAAAGAAAAGGAGCTCCAAATGACTTCAAAACTCCATTCCCTTGCTTCAATCACTTCCAATGCCTAAATCCTAGCACACCTAAGATTTAAATGTGTCTAAAAGTGAAAATAATGCCTTTTGGGTCGATCTCTCTGAATATAAGTGTCATACTCAACCAATTTCAGATTTAATAAAATGTAGCATTTTTTGACAGTAACAAAAGTTACGAACGAAAGTCATGACCTTAAGATGACTTTACCAGTTTTACACTGTTTTTGCAGCTAACAAAAATTATTCACTTTATGCTTGATTTCTTCATCTAAAAGCTTTTCAAAAACATACACAAAACTCCAAAAATGCTTCTAATCAAGTTTTCAACTAAAATAACACAAAATTAGACCCAAAAAATTATCAAACCAAAACTAAGATACAAACCCAAAATAAAATACACATTTTCCTAATTTAAGCAATAAAAATATATATAATTGAGCCAAAATGGATTAAAAAATTAGGGAAAATATGATGAAATAATATGAAATTCTAGAGGTTAACATCTCATTCAACCATTTAGGGACTAAAACCAAGTTCAAAAAGACCTTGTACACTTGATTGATCACAATTTATATCATGCACACATACAAATCAAAATTTGGCCATTCAACAGTCCATTTATGCATCAGGAAACTTTTCTCAACTTGATACAAAAACATTTGTTTGGCCATATTCACCACAAATTCACAAGTTTCTATATACACATCATGTTCACAACTAAATCTTAGCCATGTTACTCATTTCTCCATATATTCACACGTATAAGTTAAGATTTACAAAATCACCATAAGTAACAGATTTAAACATGCATATGTTATCCTATGGCAACTTTTCATATATAAGCATTCACAATATGTTAAGTTCATTATGAAAAATTTGATTCTACACGACTTTATCAATACTAAGCCGGTGTTGAGTTTTTCCCTTTACTCAGCTTACTATTTTGACCTGTAAAAATGTAATCACAGGGTAAGATAATAATTTCAAAAATAGAATAACTTACCACTACTAACTATGGCAAGTAACCAAAAGCAAGCATTGCATAATATACATTTGAACATAGCTAATAATACAGGATTCACTTTGTCAATATCATATTTCACCACTATTCGCCACTTTTATAAGCATGATTGTTACCATCAAAACCTCAAAATCACTCCGACTCAAAACCATAAGCTCACCTTAGACTAATTCACACACTCATTAGCCATGAGCATACATTTAATGGTATAATCACCTAGTTAAAAGTATTCTATCTCACTTTTTGATTATCCCCCATTACCCACCATAGGGTGTCATTGGCTTTAATGCTACATCACTTATGTTAAGGGGTTGAAATCTCCAACACCATGCCCCATATGGGTATTAAAAAGATAATCTCTAACACCGCACCTCAAAGGTACTAAGGAGATACGATTCTCCAATATAACACCCCGTTGAACAATAAAAAAGAATGATACCATATAGATTTTCACTATTTCTCCATACGGGTAAACTACCACCCTTATATCATGCTTCCGTATAAACCACATTTTATATATATATAAAACCATATGTATGTATGTATGTATGCATGTATGTATGTAATCACAAAACACGCAAATCATAAACTCAGTTCTTTAGAAATCAATTGTATACATTAAACCTTTATTTAGCAAACATGCTTATTCTAAAACATTTTTATGCAATAATATTCATACTCCCAAATAGTTACAATAGATAATTTAATAGAAGAAATTATTTCATTACCTCAACTTTTTTGTCATAAAAAAGGTTACCTGTGGATTCAACAATCTCTAATGCTCTCTACAAGCTTCCTTTCTCAACTAACACGTGAAATATGTCACTCTACACATAATTAACACTATTAATCAATTAATAAAATTAACCAAAAACATTTAATTATTGCTTAAAACTACATTTAGTTACTCACTCACTTCCACTTAACCAATTCAGGTCTATCGCCACTCATTTATCACTTTTAGCGATCCTATTTCACATTTACCTAATTTCCACCCCATTTAACCATTGATTTAGGGCCAAATTAAGCTTATAGTTTCAAAACTTTACCGTTCAACCTCAAACCAGTCATAAAGTATTAATTTAACTCCAGAGAACTTTTTTATTACTATAGTGTAAGAAACTAACCCCTTAAATTTTCTTAATTTAATCTTTCTTTAACTTATATTGAGAGAAATTATAGTAAAATTAAAGTTAAGGACTGTATAAGACTTACTTGATAAGCTATTTGTTGAAATATCTTCCAAGCTCCCAAGAATCCTTGCCTTAGTAAAGGATTACTTCCTTTTATCTCCTTTCATTCTTTCCTTCTTTCTCTCTTTTGTTTTCATGAGCTAACCAGGACTTATTTAACAAGTTTCTATGCCATGCGCCTTGGTGCAGGCAACTTGTGCTATGGAGCGTGGCACAATGAGAAAAATCCTCACCACGTGCACACGCTTCATTTCGAGATGAAGTTCTTCCACTCATATTTATTCATTCAGCATCCTAAAGACTCAAATCATTAAATTGTCACTCAAAATTCTAATCACTCACTAATTATTAATTCACCCTTAATTAGCAACTAGTTAACAAGGTTAAAAAATCATGATATTACGGTTTTCCCTCTCCTTTTAAGAATTTTGCCCCCAAAATTCATAAAATACTTAAGCACATATCCTATGAAAATACATGGGAATATTGTTGCCTCATTTAATCCTTTGTCTCCCAGGTAATATCACCAGGAGCCATGCCTCGCTAAAACACTTTCACCAAGTGAATAATCTTATTTCTTGATTGCTTGTCCTCCATATCTGCAATTCGCTCTGGCTCAATTAAATTCTCCTGGAACTTAATTTCTTCTAGTTCTATGACATAAGAGGTGTTTGGTTGGTAAAATAGATTGAAATTGGTTTGATGTTTGTGAATGGCTTCTTGAAATACAACTACTAGAAGATAAAATATTAGAACAAAGGCTTGTAATTTCTTGGCTAGCTGAACACTTTCACTACCTCCCAGATGATGTAAATGATGTACAAATCCAACAATTCATAAGAGCTTACATACCTAGGTTAATTGGTGGGTATTTAATGCCAGATAGGTCAAGTCATAAAGTTTATTTAATATATCTTCCGTTGCTTTAGAATTTTGAAGAAGTTGGTTGCTTTTTCATGGGATTTGCAGTATTAGCATATTTTTATAGAGAGTTATGTAATGCCACCAACCGAGTAAGTAATAGATGGATGCTTAGCATTACTTCACTTATAGGCATATGATCACTTTGTTATGCTTGCACTAGAGCGACCTCCAACTCTAGATATATAAACAGATATCTATCCTTCCATACCCCCTCTTAGGTTTGTGTAATACTTATTTTAGTATTTCATTAATGTGTTTACATTATTTATTTAATCATATAAATTTAATAAGTTGCAAAAATTAATCATAGATGGAAAAATATGGGGTGACCACCTCATTTAAGCACCATGGCATTACAACAATATAAACTTTGGCTCGATGCAATGGCAAAGGATGAGAGAATTCTAAAACTAAATGATTCTGAATTGGTGCAACTTTTAATTCCAAGCTATTGTTTAGTCACACTACAAATTTGGAGGGCTTTAGTTCCCATAATATGCTTTCACATAATAGAATGGTACTATCCTAGTCACATCATGAGACAATTTGGTCTTCAACAACCAATTCCTTTTCCTTCAGTCAGATTGGGGAATGTCCACACATTATAACTTAGGGGAAGAACATCAACAAATTAGATTGAGGAGTATGCAAACTTCATCAATGCATGAAAAGGATGGGAACATGCTATTGTAAAGTCTTTTATATCAAACGAGCTATTGTGCATGTGATGGTATTGGAAACATGCTCAAAGGTGGATTAGCTTAAGAATTGCTGCAACTAATTTTGCAGTAAGTATTCACTATCATTATATTTTTACAATTGATATTCCCATTTCTTAATATATTTTTTAACTAATTTCAAGTAGATATAATGAAAGGTTTATTATAAGATAAGTCTTCAAATCCCTTTAGAAATATCAATAATAGATTATCAAGAAAGGGTTTGTCAAGATCAACACAACATATTACTTGCGTTAAGAGAGTAACACTTCACAATGGTCTCTCAACTTGCTCCACCTATAGTAGATGTGCCATACACACATATTCCTTAAGGTAGACAAAATAGGAGACACTCAATCCCATCACATGCCCCTATCATCCTTGTCCCACTAGTTTAGCTCTCCAGATATTCAACAATTTAGCTCATACACTTTTTTATTTGATGATCCACCGTTATTTGTAGTTGAACACGATGGTTATACATTTGAATATAGAGGGCCCTCGAATGAAATATTCACGACTCCACAGCATTTGATCTCTCCTATAGAGTCTCCTATTTTTTTTAATACCCCACAAATTGTACCAACCACAGAATAGTCAGAATCTCAACACGAAGAGCCTACAAGACAAGAGTGACCATAATGTGTTATAAGAAGACCAAGATGTGACATAGGAAGCCATTGTATATAGATTATATTTTTTAATGTAAAAATATTTAATCTTTAATTATTATAAAAAACAATAGCCTTTTGTTATTATTGACTCATTTTATTATTTTATATTTTTCAAATCATTATCTATTCTACTTCAATCTAATTAATTACAAAAAGCTATCATTATATAAAATAAAAAAAATTTACTTAGTATCTTATCATTTCATTAATCATTATCCCATCAATTATTATTGTAGAAAATAATTTAGTAATCATAAAAATAATCATTTTATAATCATGATTATGCTAATAAAATCAATGATTTGCTAATGATGGATTAGGGTAGGAATAAAATGTGAAAATTGGCTTCAATCAAACTAGGTTGTGTGCATTTCTATCAAATCAATTTTTGGTTCCGTAGCATTTTGAAAAATATTTTTTTATATTTCATTCATTTAAAAATATAAGATATTTTTAATCAAATCTCACCCTCTAATAAAATAGTTACCTATTTTCAAACTAATCCTATCTTTTTCATATTTATCCTTATTAAACACCTTATAATAAATATAAAGTCACTATTAATAAGGATATTTTTGAAAAAAATGTAATGATTACATCTCGAAAGATTAAAAATATTTTATATTTTTTAAGATTTAATTTTTTAAAAAATATTTTATATTTTTAAAGGATGAGAGTAATATCTTAGCAATTATTTTTTTTTTTTATGTAGTATCTAGGCGTTTTTGCCTAGAAGTGCACTCTATATATTATATGATGATAAGGCCCAAGAACTTTCTCGGAGACCAAGAGGAGGAATGGGACATCCGGTCATCCCTCCACTCAAACTGAATTAAACTGCTAATTACTGTACACTCTTGTAATTAAGCTAATCTTGAAAATCAACAACCCGGAATACCCAAATTACCCCTGCTTAATTAAGCTTTACAATTCCATTACCTCAACGGTCATTAACTAACGCCGATCTAACAACTAATCGCTAACTAACTCCTCAACACAGTAATCTCAAGGCACTATATCTCATGCACTCCTTCCTTGCAGAGTAGAAGACGAATAAGCAAGTGACGAAGAATGAGACGAAGGATGGTCAAGAAGCAACAACTGAGCGGGACTGACAGAGGAGGAAGAAGAAGAGTTGGTGGTAGGATTGGGCTTGGGCTTGTGGGCGTCGGGGCCGGCCGGAGGATCGTGGCGGATTTCCCGGAGCAAGGCGGCGACGTCTTTCATGGTGGGACGATCGTCGGGACGAGTGCTGGTGCAGAGGAGGGAGATTCCCAGTGCTTGAAGCATCTCTTGTATTTGTGTGTCTGTGTGGCCTTGAAGCTTTGGATCCACAATCTCCACAGGGTCCTTCTTCTTCTTCAGATGATCTCTCACCCAATCTATCACATGTTGCCCTTCACCAAACGACGCGTCCACCGGTCGTTTCCCTGTTATTATCTCTAAAAGTACCACTCCGTAACTATACACGTCGCTCTTCTCTGTTATCTTCAACATGCAGCCATATTCTGACAGCACAATACAAACAAATTCATTTCCAGTCCAAACAAAGTTATTGAATTTTCATGTTTTCTCATTTTTTTATTTGAAAATGATGATAATAGAAGAAGAAGAAGAAGAAAATATCCTAGCTGGGTGAATAATGGTTAATGAAACAGAAGATAGTAAAAGCAGAATAATAGATCATTGTTGTGTTAGCATATCTTTCGCTTTTCCGATGAGAGAGATCGTTTGGAAGTAATTATTGTGCATTCATGTAAATTTGCGTCAAGTACATAAGTTGTACAAAGAATGAGTCCAAAAACGTCAAGGCAATAATGAACCAAACCACAAGGCCACCACAAGCCCTGTTTTCTGTGTTCAACTGTTCATTAAAGATGGCCGTGTGATGAATTTCTCAATCATGATAATTTAAAATATTTTTATTATATATAGAGTATTTCATATGGCCTGAAAAATGTTACCGTTGCTCAAAATTAAGTATAACTAAACGAACAATATATAAGTTTTAAAATGAACAAAATACCCTTCAGAAAAAGAGCAAAAAAAAAATCAAATCTCATTTCACTTTTTAAAAAAAGTAAAATAATTCTCTTAAGCATCGTGTTTGAAGTTGAACTAAGCCAAGAATTCCATCGTCACGCAATTCACTACCAAAATTTTCCCGTCTAGTTCAAAATTATTTCACTAAATTACAGCAGGCGAATCTATAATTGAAATTCAGCTCAACCCAAAAAAAGATAGCATATCATGCAGTTCTCTGTGTATCAGAAAAACTGTTTGAAAATAATGGCAAATCAAATTTATGCTCTATTATTTTTCCTGCTGCTAAAATCTGTTAGGCCCACGTTAACTTACCTGGCGCAATGTAGCCGTAAGAGCCAGCGAACTGGGGATTCACGGAGAAGGAAGCGTGGTCGTCGTGTACAAATCTGGCAAAACCAAAATCTGCGAGGCATGGCTCGTACCTGTCTCCTAGCAAAATGTTGTGCGCTTTTACGTCCCGGTGCAAGATAGCAGGCACGCAGTCATGGTGTAAGTAAGCTAAGCCTTCCGCCACGCCTAGTGCTATCCTGAACCGTGTCTCCCACTCGATTAATCCTGTGCACCCTTCGTGTAAAAGTGTATCCAGGTTACCGTTCGGTAAATAATCATAGAACAGTAACTTCGTCTTCTGGTTCGCCGCCCAGCCCAATAGCCTCACGATATTACGGTGTCGTATTCTCGCCAATGTCGCTATCTCCGACGAGAACGCCACCGCTGAGAATTTCTCCGACGATCGGAGCCTCTTCACGGCCATGTCTAACCCCGCTGGGATGTTCATTCTGTAAACCACCCCGGATCGGCCTCGACCGATGACGTTTCCAGCCGTGAGACACTTCGCCACGTCAGAAATTGACAGGTCGAGTTTCTGGTATACTGTCACCTCCCATGGTGGGCCCATCTCCAAGTCGCTATCCCTCCCATCGAGGTCGAGATCGTTACCGTGGCCCCTTTGTCGTCGTTTTGCCGCGACGACGACGTACAGCGCCGCCAAGAGGAGAGCACATGCGGTGCAAAGTAGGGCCACCATAGCTATACGCGCCGTCTTCGCGCGCCTGCCTGAACGACTTCCAGAATCGTCTTCTGCACACCGGTTTACGGAGAGGCAGAGCGAAGGGTTGCCGGCGAGCATATTTAGAGGAAGTTTTGCGAAAAAAGGCGTGTCCGGGATGCGGCCGGAGAATCTGTTATACGAGATATTGAGGACGACAAGATTTTGGAGGCCCGCGAGATAGCGAAGGTTGCCGTTGATCTCGTTGTGGGAAATGTCTAACATGCCCAGCTTAACCAAGCCTGAAAACTCCTGAGGAATCTCGCCGGAAAGTTTATTCCAGCTTAGATTCAGTGCAATTTCAAGACCCGGAATATTACCAAGACTACCGGGAATATTGCCGGAGAAATTGTTGCAGCTGAGATCCAGCAACTGAAGCTTCGAGCAGGAACCGAGTTGACCCGGAATTGATCCAGAAATATGATTCTTTCCAAGAACCAGTTTTGTGAGTGAACCAAGCGATCCTAGTTTCGGGCTTAGTGTGCCTTCAATCATGTTATTGGAGAAGTCAATAAATTGCAGGGAGACAAGCTCACTCAGACTCTCCGGCAAGCTCCCGGCGATCATATTGGAATGAAGGTCCACAAACGCGAGATTCCTGCAGCCTGACGTCTCTTCCGGAATGACTCCGGAAATCCGATTGTTTGCAAGATCCAAAAAATTCAAGTTTCTCAGATTCCCAATCTGTGGGGGGATGCTCCCTGTGATCTTATTATTGCTCGCCCGGAACCGAATCAAAGACGAACAATTTCCAATTTCAGATGGCATGTTTCCGGAGAGATTATTAGAAAGTAGCAAAAGCTTGTTGAGATTCTTGAGCTCGAATATGCCCTTCGGTATGGGACCCGTTAGTGCATTCTGTGACAGATCCACAGCCTCCAGGTTTTGGCAATTCGAAAGTGAAGATGGTATATTTCCTTCGAGCTTGTTATGCCACAGGAACAACAACGTCAGATTACTAAGGTTTCCCAATTCAGAAGGTATCGTCCCCGTGATTTGATTGTTGTCCAGTTCAACATGAGTAAGTTGCTCACAGTTCCCTAGGTCTGTAGGAATCCCCCCTGAAATCTGGTTTTCGCTGAGTTGGAGTTCTTCCAAAGCCGTCAAATTTCCAAAACTCTTGGGAATGCTTCCTGTAAGCGAGTTCATTGAGATGTCAATGACCGATAACTGGTAGCAATTCCCAATTTCTTGTGGGATGGTTCCAACCAAATTGTTCTGCCACAAAAGAAGATTCTTGAGATTCCTAAGATTTCCCAATTTGCTGGGCAATGATCCGGTGAGGGAGTTCTCGTACAAATAAATGTTCTGAAGTTCAGTGCAGTCACCGAGTTCAGGAGGAATCTGACCAGAGAGGAGGGAAGTGTAAATTGCAATGGTGTTCAGCTTCTTGAGAAGACCAAGAGTAGGTGGGAGAAATCCTGAGATACTTGTTTCAGCTAAACCCAACATGACCAATTTGGTACAATTTCCTATTTCTTGAGGCAAAGCACCTTCAAGGTTCTTGTTTCCACCAGCACGAATCACTTGCAGATTCTTCAGATTCCCAATCGTTGAGGGAATCTCACCACTTAGCTGATTATCATATAAGATCAGCCTCTCCAACTTTGTGAGGTTCCCAATTGCAATTGGAATCGACCCCTCAAGCTGGTTTGAGTTCAGGTGAAGTTCTTGAAGCTCAGGCAAAAAGCAGAGCTCGCTTGGGATCTCACCAGTCAAGGCATTGTCACTCAAGTCCAAGTAGGTGAGGCTTGCAAGTGAGCCTATCTCTTTTGGGATTGAACCAGTGAGGTTCGTCCCAATAAGGATAAGCTTGGTCAAGGAACGCAATGAGGTGAAATTAGAAGGAAGGCTTCCAAGCAAATCAACATACCTCAGATCTAATTGAACAACCTCGTTCTTGAAGTTGCAGCTAACTCCAAACCAACCACATGGAACATCGTCAGTTGGGTTCCAATTACTCAGCACCTCCAAGGACCCGTTCAGGGTCGTCTTCCATGAAACAAGAGCTTGCCCTTGTGGGTTAACAGAAGAAGCAATAGAAGATTGGGAATGAAGTAAAAGAGCAGTTACTAGGAAGAAGAGGGTCCATGGATTTTCAGGCATTACAACTAATCAACTATATTGCTGCTACGAACTCCAATGAGAGAACAGAGAGAAAGGTTGGAGCCTAGGGAGGAGGAACAACGAGAAGGAACCAAATCATGTCATGTGGGCTACTTCGTTTTTTTCAAGAGTCATATGTATGCATATACAAGTTGGAAAAGAGAAAAAAGAAACGAAAAAAGACCCAAAATCTCCGGATCCAAGAAACCAGCTAGGCCATGATGCTTCGTGCAAGAGAGAAATGGAATTTAAGATGGTCTGTTTTATAAAATTATCATACAGGTATTTGTTTATGTTGTGAAGAAGAAAGGAGTGGGTGGGAGGATTATAACTGTTTTCTAATTTGACAGTGAGCAGCAACAGGGGTGGGGTGGGTGAGTGGCTCTCTTTCCAAATGTTAGTTTTAATATGAACCGTTTATCTTTTGATGTAGCCTTGAATATATCTGGTTTTCTTTTTTCCTTTTTCGCTTGACATTTTTTCCCTAACTAAATTAGACGAATTTGCAACAAATTAAAAATTGTGGGCTAGGGAATGAATTTTGTCTGCTACGATGCCTACGAACGTTGTCTGAAACACCTTTGGTCTCATAGCAGAATTCTCATTGGATTTATATTCTATGTTTTTTATACGTAGCTATTGCTTGCTTGTACGTTGATACATCCTTTTAACCTCTTCTATTATTGTGCCCAATGAAAAAACGATTAATAATTTTCAAGCGAAAAAAAATTAAAAATAGCCGAAAAAATAAATTTTAATCATGTACTACAGACACACACACATTCGTATTTTTATTTTCTATATTCACGGCAGAGATACACTTTGAATTATCGTCTACTTTGAGTTGGCAGTGTTTGGCGAGAGCAGTAAAGCGGTACAATGAGATAAGCTTGATCGGCCTTTTTTTCTGGCCTTAGGTGAAGAAAAGGAAGTTCCCGGGAACGCTTTCCCATAATCACAGACTCTCACATTTTGAAAAGCTGCGAGATAACTCGCACCAGAAAGTATTTAAGCACTGAAATTTTCGATCAAGGATGAAGGATCTGCCCTGAATGAATCTGATCTTATCTGGCTATCAAATTAATTTTTCTATGACCTTCTTGTGTGGACTTGGAATTTTAGAAACCACAATATAAACTGACAAGGATTTAAAAATAAATGCGACTAGTAGTGTGCATGTTGACGCGCACACACATGATGCGATCTATGACAGCGTCTATTTGTCTTGAGAATCTGAGAATAATTTAAGACTTTATCATCTTCTCATAAATCTGAAATGTTTATGAAAGTCGCGGGGAAAGATGAACGGTAGTGAAGGTGGAAGAATTATAAACAAAAAGAGGAGGATGCATATTTATAAATTACTTTTTTAACATATTTTACACTGAAATCAAAATGAGGAGGATGCATGTGGTATTTACTTTCTTTTCTTCTATTTATAATTATAAGGTGGAGAGAAGAAATTTTTTAATCTTATTTATAAATCATATTATTAAATTTATATTACAAACTTTTTCGTTTATCTTCAATATTAGCATTGGTAATTATAAAATATGTATATTTTACCAACAAGTAATAAGATCTAGTGGAAGCTAAGGACTTATCTTTCACAACATAGCAAACTAATTTTTGAATCCCTATTAAGCAAAATGTTCATATTTAATACTCAATTGTATATCGAACATGAATATTTCTAATAGGAGGACATATGTACAATAAAAAAAGCACACATGTTTAATAAAAACAAAAGTAAAAACTTATTAAATTTTTAAATAACATTAACGAGTTTTAATTTTCTTGTTTCACTTAAACATATTAAAAATGATTTATAAATAACAAGAATTAAAAAGGTGGGAGCGGATTAGAGGGGGTGTGAACGTGATGATATGGATTAAGTGGGGATCACGTGATGCCGCGTGACAGTGTGAGGATATGAACATAGAGAGAGAGGGAGGATTCAGAAATGTTAAAAAAGAGAAGAGTGGGAATCTAGGCACGAGCTTGCTCATACAAACAGCAGAAGCAGCACATGAGAGACATTTCTAGCTGTTAAAAAAGGCATAGCAAGTAACAAGCCATCGTGTACGACAGCTTTTCTTATCTGCATCTCCAGCTCCCTTTTCTTTCTCCAAATTACATCTTACCCTTCTTTTTCATGTGAATCATAATAATATATCCCTGATTGTTCATAATTATATTTCTGAAACACATTTTCTTTTCATGTATTTTTGTATCATTTGTATTGATTTATTAGCAGGTCTTAAAAAAGATTCCTAGATTATAAGAAAATAACTTTGTGACAACATTTGTTGGTTGATAGACAAAAATGATCAATAAGACCCATGGGTGTGTGCTCAAATTCCCCCAAACCGTCCAAAGCTTCGCATGATGAGTGTTACTCCTTCAAAAGAAAATCCTGTGATGGCTAGCTTGGATCTAAGTCTCTAATGATCCATATCTTAGAATATCTCACTGTGGCGGTCTTTGCAATTGGATAATTGAGCTGTCTCAGATCAGCTCTCATTCTCGTTAGTTAATTTGTCAACAAAAATTTCTCAAGCAACAAGTGAAGTTGTGGAAGGGCCAAAACCTTAAAAATGGAGTCCAGTGATTACTTGAGAGAGGCATTTTTGTAAAAATAACGATGGAAATTCATGGAAGGGACTAGCTCAAGAAGTTGAGTTTAGCATAAAGAATAACATAGTAAATTAATATTTGAATCCTGTTAAAAAAGTGCTTACATATAAATCTGACCATGTTTTAAACAAGACAAAACTTCAATAGAAGAATACCTATATAAAATTAAAAAAAAACCAAATATTTATGAAAGTTTGCAATATTTATACTCTCTTCAATTCTATATATAGGATAGTTTGGGAGATTGTTTTGATATTCTAATGTAGGCCCTTAATTTTCTCTCTCATATCTATTAATTTTTCTTAAACCATCTATAGGTTGATTCTTATATAATGATAATATTTTAATGTAATTAAAACGAGAGATAATTTTAGAAATACTAGTACATATTTTTTTTACAAATAATTAACTTACCTGATTTCTTTAACCCATTAATTAATTATATAAATTACATTTAGGCTTGATTTGGATGCTAGGAGAAATGGAAAAAGAAAATAGGAAAGGGGAGAAAAATAGAAGAAATTGTCAAAAATAGTGAATGCTTATATTATTTTTAGGATTTTAGGACTTGTTTGGTAATCTGTTTTGAAAATAGTTTTCTATTTTTCAAAACAAAATAATAAAAAAATTTATTTGATTATGTATTTTTAAAGAGTATTTTAGAGAATAAAAAAAATAAAAAACAACTTTCAGGTGTTCTGAAATTATTGTTCTAGGAAACAAGAGAGAATAAAAAAAACACCTATTTTCATTAATTTTTTTTGTTCTTAAAACATGTTTTATAAATTATTAATTCTCAAAATAATAAAATAAAAATAGTTTTAAACGACTCCATTTCCTCTTATATATCTTTCTTTCCTCCCTAATTTTCTCTCCATCCAAAAAGGAAGGGTTAGAATCAAAGAAAGGAACAAAATGTTCTTCTAATTTGTTGCTGAGATATTTGATAACGAAGGCAGTGTAAGAGTAAGTAACCGGCTACTTCCCCGTCTAGATCCGTCGGCATGTATTATTAATGATAACAAATAAGTAATTAAATTTTGGGTGATCCATTATTTATGTTGAAAGTTAATCTTTGAAATAAAATGACAACAATATCATCTCAAGGGGACCTTGAAAGTTCGACGAAACGGAGTGAATGGAACTGCTGAGCCTGAAAGGAAGAAAAGTAAATTAAAATTTGAAGAAAATAATAAAACAGAAGATAAATTATGTGGTATATATTGGCACTGTGTGTTAGCTTTTTGGTTGGAGGCCTGTAATTCACAGCACCAACTTTGTTTTCCTTTTCAATCATTTTCGTTAACGGTTTTGGTCTTTTCTCCTCCATGTTGTTTTACTGTTAGCTCTGTTGGAACCCACGATCCAGCCATTCTTAGTATTGTTCACAACTTTTTCCAATAATATATGCCACGCTGACTGCCAGATATTTTTCATTTGATGAATTTGTAATGTGCATATAATCAATAATAACACGTTATTTATCATCATTAACCTCAAAATAATTCAACAACAATATTAATAGAGGTGGAGGCTCTTCAAATTAAACATGTGTTTCAGTGTTTGTAGGCTTTTCAATTTACTTGGCTTGCTTAATTTGAAACGTTTGCTAAATGGAAAATAAACACACTATTTTACTTTACTTTTTTTATATTTTTGATAACGCACCTACTGTTTTACTTTTATTGGCCCTTAGGTTGACCTTGCTGCTATAAATGGATTACTTTAGTTTTGGCCTTAACCATAGACTAAAGTGAAGGGATTCAAAAACTAATTAAAACAATCATTTCAATTTGACAAGAAATATAACTAGAAGAGTTAAGTACGGGAATCATATTGTTGATATGACCATATTTTGGTGGAGTTGAGATCATCTACAATATTTAGAGCTTGCAAATAAGGTAACTCTGTCTTTTCTTTATATTTTATACTCATGTTAACAATATAATTAAAAAAAATTAAATGACAAATTAACCCTTAAACTATAGGTTTAAAAGTATCCAAGATGCATTCCTTAATATATTCATCATTAGTGCAATAATGTTCCCTTTCAATTTTAAAAATTATCAAAAATAATCTAAAAACTTATAAAAAATAACCCAACATTAAAAAGAATTAAAAAATAACCCAATATTGCCTCTATCGTTAATATTGGTTAGCAATGGAGGTAATGTTGTGCCGTTTTAAAAAATAAAAAGGGAGTATTGCATTAAAAATGATTTTAGTCTCAGACACTTCTAAATTTATAGTTTAAAGGTCAATTTTTTATTTAATCCAAAAAAATTAGTTAATGAAAATATAATGAACATTGTGGATATATTAAATTTAATCAAGAGCTGTTTAAATAATAAAATATATAACATTATTGTTTGTAATGCTTCAACCAAGAGGACGATGGTTCTTAGCAAAGGTCAACTTTACAATTTTTTTTAAAAAATGTTCATAAATAATTCTACTCTCTTCAATTTGTTTGTTTGTTTGTTTTCATTTCTTTGCTTTATTTGACATAATTTTATAAATAATTTTTGAAAGATAAATAATCTGTGTCCACAACTTTTTAACTGTGGAGAAGAGAGATCACGGGAGATTCCAAGACATGAAATTTCCATCTTCAATTGATTGATTAAATGATGAAACTCAGTTAGCTCCTTCTTGCTTATTCTTTGTGCATGTGTGGGTCACGTGCACGTGCGGAAGCTTAGTACATGAAATCATTGTTGACACGACCATTACTTTA